ACGGACAGCAGGTGGTCATTTGAAATACGTAGGATACAAATCTGATAGGAATAAATTAGGATTATGTGTTTACTCCAATGGTATTAATTATTATGCTCTCTTGCCTTTTGAAGATAATCCTCAACAATTTGTACCGCACTTTGACATAATTAACATGAGCTTATAAAAAGAAACACGATTCAGCTAAAGCAAAGCAGTTTATGCGAATGAATAAAACTTCCGGAACTAACTCCTCACCACGTCCTATGGGACAAAAAGAGGGCATCCGCAGGGCCTAAGGGGCAGTTCCTTAGTGCGCACAAGGATGAATATTTCAGACAGCTTTATAATAAAAATTAACTATCTTGAGTGTATGCTCGGCACTTTAACCTTGTCTCGTGAACGGTTTGGCCCTTTGAGCTAAAGAAGGTCTCAATTAGACAGAAAACAGTTTAATCTATAAATACACTACACCCAAGTGAGTAAGTTATGAGATAAAAAAGTGAAGAAACGATTCCTTAACCCAACAACTTTTGTTCAGAGTTTTCAAAATCTGACTTCAGATTCGGATTCACCGACCCCGATTTACTTTCGTCAACCTTTATAAAATATCGTTGTTTTCTTAAAAAACTCTTTCTTTGACCCAAAAAATGGAGTTCAAAATTTTTCAAAATCAGACTTCAAATTCAGATTCCTCGACCCCGATTTGCTTTCGTCAACCTTTATAAAATATCGCTATTTTCTCAAAAAACCCTTTCCTTAGCTCCAAAGTTTGAGCTCAAATTTTTAATGCTTTATATACCATTTTGTAGCTCGTGAAATGCTCTATCGAATGGTATCTAATAGTTGGGGTTTTATTTTGAGTATGATAGGAAAAGTTTTTTACGCAAGCGGTGATGGGTCGATTTTCGCCTAGGAAGCCATAGGAAAAAATGACTATTTTTGCAATAACTCAGGAATGGTTCAGCCAATTCTTCTCATCTTCGAACTCGACCGAGACATTGTTAAGACTGAACTGTGTAGAAAATTTCATCGCGATTGGACTCTCCTTTCAAAAGTTATCGTGTTAACGGCCGGCCGGACGGACATACTGACCGATTCTAGAGTGTACTCACTTTTTGAGTACACAAAAAGAGCAAATTGGTGTTCACCATTTGTTAAAATGAATATACCGGAACATGTTGTAATTAAACTGTACGAAGCAAGACCTTTTTTCATATAATTACAATTATCAAGTAAGATTGTTGATTGATTCGAAAAATAAGCTATTGACGACGTTGTAACCAGGGCAAGGACACGAGCATCTTGAAGCAAGAACTTTGCTTGTGCTTCAAAAATTTTTGTTACTTGTGGTCCATAAATTTCAACAAGATTATAATCAATCATATTTGCGTAATCAAAATTACGCCAGAAAAGCTTCTCTGGGGTTGCACCAGTCGTCATCTGAAATGAATAAATGAATTTTAAGTCATAGAATTTGTAGTGAGAAAACATAACTTTCAATAGAACTATCCTTTACCCTATTAGAATGAGATATTTAGAAACGATCTTCGCTTGAAACTGTGTTTAGCCTTTTATCAAATTTGATTGACTGTTTTAAATGTTCTGGATTCATTTCCATATATGAGAAGCTGTAAGTACTAGAATTAGATCGATTTTTCATTATAAACTTTCTGTAAGAGTCTTTTTATATTCGCGAATGTCCAATACAGGATATTAATTCTTTATTTGAACTCGAATACTTCTTTATCATTCTACACTTTAGCGTGCAATACAGTATGTAAATAGAATGGGAAAATATCTAGCAGCATCTTAATGTGTTTTTGATAAACTGGATAGTTCTTGTCTTATGGAAAATAAGTAACTATTTACTTCACGATGTATGATAGATAAATTTTTGCAAGCTGAAAATTCAGAAGCAAAAGTTATACCAAATTTGCGTAAAATGTTGTTACAACTTAAATTTTCGTTTCGTCTGAAAGTAGTGCTCTAAGAAAAACTGGATAAGAAGACGTTCAAGACATTTTCTAGGTGCTTAAAAACTGAAGGAAAGTTACTTTTAAATAGAATGAAAAGTTAATTGTTGTGACAGCATTCAGGAAACTGTACCAACTTTTAGAAGTTGATGCCAGAGTAGCACAGACATACTTTTCAGACAAATAGAAAATTTTAAACATAATAGAGGACAAACTCAGCATCAACAATTTAAAATGACTTCAATTTTGGATGACTTTCTTATGAATTATCGATATAATAACATTTTGTTTAATATGTGTAATGAACTGAAGGCACTTCGCTCTTGTGAATTAAAAAACATTAATTCTCTAACCCATTATGAACACATGAAAATATTGGTAGACATGTCTCTATTTTTTAAGTAACACATGTTATGTCATTACCTAATATATGTCGATCAACTTCCAGATTCTAGTGTTTTTTTTTGGCTTTTATCTATCAAAAACAATAATTGTGTGGTTGTACAACTCAACTTATATTCAATTATATCTTTTATTTCAACAACTATTATCCTAAATGTAAATCAGAAAGCAAAAATAGCGTTTTCTGCGACCAAAATTAGGAATGTTAATTTTTTTTCACCATGTAAAATAATTATAAAAATAAAAAAATACAAATCAAAATAAATAGAAATAGAAATAGAAATAAATACAAATATAAATAAATTTAAAAAACTTAAATGCCAATAAATATACATCAAACCTGTTGTTATAAAATAAATACAAGTAACGCTCGTCCCTACGACTCGCTCAACCCTCGACTGAAGGGTTAGAAGTACTTATACGCTAGTCCACTTTATTGAGACAGTTACTAATAGTATCGTATTAACTGAATTGAGTGTTAATTAAAAAACAAGTGACGTGGGTTGAGAGGATCCACTAGGTCCATTGACTCTACAAAATCTTCTAGCATGTAGCTACCTCTTTCTCTACCACAGAAGCTAGGCTGACGCGGTTTATCCTTGTATGTGCTTTAATATACTTCACCACGGCATTGCAATTGATTTTCATAATATAGCACAAGAGAGCCTAAGGGTACCATCCTAATATAGGACTTGTGGACCTATAGGTACCTCAGGAATAGAGGACTTGAGTTCCTAAGGATACCCTCCTCATCTAAGACTTGGGGACCTCAGGGTACCCTCCTAATATAGGACTTGAGGACCTAAGGGTACCCCCATAATATAGAACTTGGGGACCTCAAGGTACCCTGGAAAACAGGACTTGTAGACCTAAGGGTACTCCATAATATAGGACTTAATCGATTTCAATCTGCTTCTGATGTAATTGCATCATCTCCATTTTGAAACAATTTATATAGGAGTTTCAACTTTAGTTTAGTTGCCTGATTTAGTCCAGTGGTAAGTCAATAGTTTCTGAAGAAGAAAAATCATGGGAAACTCACTAGTTTCTAGTTCGAATCCTACGAAAAGCACTTATCTTTGATATGAAGTAAGTAATCGATTAAAATTGATTAAAAGGTATTCTTTGTAAAAATTCAAACGATAGAATCATGTTGATTTTGTTCATTGAATCTATTTATATCACATCTGTGGACATCGTGATTTTTCATCGAATGCATATCAGTCTCCTCGGTATAGAAAATATTTTTTACATCTGAGTTGGTGGTAGTTATATGATTCAGATTTTATTTTTCATAGCTTAATATATTAATATATAGTAAATGTAACAAAAGATGTATATATATATTAGAAGTAACAGAAAAAAAACTTCTATGTGTAGATATGTGTAGTAGTACAAAAAAATATGTATATGTACAAATATAGTAATACAAAATGAATATTCATATGTGTACATATGTTGAGCAATACAAAAATAAATGTATATGTCTACATATGTAAAATAGTACAAAACAAAGGTATATTTAGGTAAATGTATATTTATATACAGAGTGTCCCAAAAGTCACTTGTGGAAAATAATTTGGTCTTACTCCACTATTTTATTAAACTTAATCAATTATTTTTTTTCTATGATGGATATCACCGTGAAGGTTTTATTGATATGGATAAACTTCGCAAATATTATTCAAAGGTATCATCTTTGACTGAAATACAAAAATTCAATCTTTTGTTAATTTTCAAAAAAACATTATGCAGGATCTTTTTTCTATTGTTTCAATAACTTTGTTAATCTAACCTTTACTAACACTGTCGTTTGTATATAAAATGACAGTCCAAAGTATGGATGATTTAAAGGTTAGATTAACAAGGATATTGAAACAATAGAAAAAAGATCCTACGTAATGTTTTTTTCTTTGAAAATTAACAAAAGATTGAATTTTTGTATTTCAGTCAAAGATGATACCTTTGAATAATATTTGCGAAGTTTATCCATATCAATAAAACCTTCACGGTGATATCCATCATAGAAAAAAAATAATTGATTAAGTTTAATAAAATAGTGGAGTGAGACCAAATTTTCCACAAGTGACTTTTGAGACACCCTGTATATATATATACTAATAGATATGTGTATATTCACATGTACATCATTACAAAAAGTTTCAATGTTTGATAGGTAAGATTATGATGGTACTGATGTAAGTTTTTGTTGTTGATGTCTTTTTAAAGCAAAAACATTGCCTATTGTGTTGTTTAATTTATAACTTGATATATTTGGTTGATGGTGGACGAGTCTTGCGTACTCTAGAATGGTAACAGAATAATACTCTAATATTATTTTAATGTATTTTTTTTTACTGTGGATAGCATAAACTTTTGAAGTCGGTATCTTTGTAATGGTCATTTGTGCACGTTCTAATAGATCAGGATATATTAGTTTAACTAGTGCACGGCATGTTTTAGCTATGTCGGTTCTGTGTTTTGAATATTTTAATTCATTTTCACTTAAATTTAATAGGCGTGATATTTTTTTTATTTGTTTTTTTGTTTTTTGCTTTTTTTTTGTTTTTTTTTAGGATCGTCATTATTAGGTAATGATGCACCTAGTTGAATCAAATAAGTAGCTATATTTCCTGTCGGTCTATTGAAAAAAAAGTTTTGCATGAATGTAGTGCAGAAATAGAGAACTTACTTAGTCATCCAATTTTTTTGATAATTTTTGATTTTTTCTTCAGTTGAATGTTCTCATGCAGAACCTGTTAAAGTTTTTCTTCTGGAGATGTACTATAACATTTTTTTTGTACGTGACGATGATGTGTTTCAAGAAATACATTTATTTTTGTTCGTATTCATAAAATTTTCAGCTTGATCACCTATTCAAAAGTGAATCAAGAAATTGAAAAATTTTACGTCCAATTTTCGAAAAATGTACATACTTAATGCTGAGGATGTTAGATTTTTACTAGAATTATCTAAAGAATTTGATGAGAACCGGTAATCTTTAGTTTTTGTTGCAGCTATACCAGATGATGATTGCAATGAACGTTGAGAAATAATATTTGTATTTTTAATAAATCTATCACATGTAACTTCAAATATTTTTTGTATTTGTTTCTCATGTTCATTTTGAAATTCGTCGTCAATACGTGTTTCATCAATGGCCAGTTTCCCGGTCTCAGAAGTCGTATCAGACGAAAAATCATTTCTCTCAAAATCATCATTCTTTTCTTCATCAAAATCTTTCATATATGTATCATATTTTTCTAAAATTAAAAGACAAGAATCTCGTCTTTAAGTTTTGAGATAACATACGTTTAGAATCAAAAGTCTCTCGGTCATAAGCACTTGAATCAACGATATCAGCAACTGCAACATTTGAAACCGATATTGAACGACTTCTAGTACAACCAGAACCACCAGGAGCAATTGCACGAAAATGATATCGCTTATTTTTATTAACATGACGACGTCGTTTTGATTTTCCTGAATGCAAATTTCTTTTTTTCATAGAGATTGTTTAGAAAAGTATTTATCTCAAAACTGGTCCCATATCACTGAAATATTAAGTAAAACTTATGCCAACATCCTCATGCAATAATATGCATCTATAAGAAAGCTGGCCGAAAAGTCTATTCCTTAACTAACGAAGAGAACATACTAGTCATATCTATGAATCAATCAGTACCAATAGCTATTAAAGACAAAAATCATCATAGATGACGCATTGTGTCAAGAATCACCTGAATATTTTTCCTTCTTCATACCTCTCTTCTTTACTCTATTGGCCATTTTATAGGGACTAAGCCTTACCTAGGTCGATCAATCCGATAGTCGGATCTTATCGAATCCGATGGGATAATATGGGATCCGACAGGAATCCGTGAAACGGATCCACATTCCGATCCGTAGTGCCGAAATCCGATTAGATTTTATAACAAATCCGACAGTCCGATCCGATAGCATCCCAAGATCGTAATCTAGTACTGATAAAATGGATGCTAATAAAATTTGCAGCGATTAGGATTCATCCGATGGGAATCCGACGTAATTCCGTTTCACGGATTCCTGTAGGATTTTGTCGGCTGGTCGAATCTTACAAGATTCTATGAGATCCGGTAGCGGATTGATGAACCTAGGTAGTGGACTCTGGTAATACCTTTAATACCTGGTAGTACCTCATAGTATCTTCTAGTACCTGGTAGTGCCTGGTAGTACCTTGTAGTACCTTCTAGTACCTGGTAGTCCTTGGTAGTACCTAGTAGTATCTGGTAGTCCTGGTAGTACCTTGTAGTACCTAGTAGTACCTGGTAGTTCCTGGTAGTACCTTCTAGTCCCTAGTAGTACCTGGTAGTACCTGGTAATGCCTTGTAGTACCTGGTAGTACCTTCTAGCACCTTCTAGTACCTTCAAGTACCTAGTAGTACCTGGTAGTGCCTTGTGGTACCTGGTAGTACCTGGTAGTAACTTCTAGTGCCTGCTAATACGCTCAACAGTATTATATACATTATATGTGTATGTATTATATGTTATATATTATAATGATATTATGTATTATACGTTATACAATATATATACATACATTTATATATCCGCATACATCTATGTATTATCATTTACATAATTTTGTATATATACATCTTGAATTATTTTGTAATTCATTCCCGTCATGAACTCGAAAAATGTTAATCTCAATCTTTATGACCGGACTGAATTGAAATAAAAATTATATACCGGTAAAAAGAATAATATTATTTTCTATTCTGATGACTTGAATTCGACAATGCATAAGTCACGCGAAAGAAACAGTATCTACCTCTCTCTTTATGAGTCTATTGTGTTGATTAAAAACAAAGAAAGATCTGTCATTCTCGCTAGGACCGTAAGTTGATGATATCAAGTATCATACATAAAGAAAATAGTATCAACTTGTGGTTTTACAACTTGAGTAAGATAAATAAAATACACTAGAAAAAGGAATCCGTGTGAATTTCTGATGTTCTAAATCTGATGCATTGATTTAAAAAACTTGTGAAAAACAAGAACATTACTTCTTGTTCTTATGAAATAAATCAGGATAAATGAAAATCATAACGTAAAATATTCAGTATAACCGTTCTTCATTGTGAATTGAATTATCTGAAATCAAATAATCTCTGTAAGAGAAATAATATAGGTTTTTAATATTATGACTTGACTGGACTGAAGTGAAATAAAGTATCAAGCCTAAAAGGAGCAATACATATACGTATATTTATGCTTGCGAATTGAATTAGATAAAATAAAATATTTTATTAGAAAAAAGAAAAAATAACAAGGTTTATCGTTATGAAAGGAATCATACCAATGAAATAACATACGTGATGAAAGAATGTGAACCTCTCTGACAATGATATGAATGTAGTAAAATCAAAAAATATATATAAAGAAAAGGATACTGATTTGTTTTCTCATTCACTGGAACCGGCAAAATAAAATACAACGCATAAAAAAGGAATGCAAATCTTTATTCGTACGAATTGATTCCGATAAAATAAAAGGTCTTATGAGACGGCGATAATATCAATATTTATGCTTATTAGCGTAGTGAATTGAATTTTGAAAAAATAATTAAAAGAAACATGTATGTGTATTTTCGTAAAATGAATCAAATGCAATAGAAAAACATAATATAGAAGAATTAATATAAATCTATGATCTTATGAAGTGATTTCGACTAGATAAAACATTTGTAAATAAAAAAACAATATCAATCCCTGTATTTATATAAGGTCAAGGAAAAAAAATTATTTTATGTGAAGAAGGTTTGGGCTAGTTTGTTCATGAAATTCATGTGGTTAAATTAAAAAAAATACTTAAAAGAAAGAATATTTTCAAATTTCATTACGAACTAAGTTAAGTCGAATAAAAGAACATAATGTCAAATAATTAGTATCCGTCTCTTAGCGAATAAGCTAGTGGCGACGAGACGAAAAATAATTGGTTTTGTAGTCATGCATTTATTGAAATTGATGACAAAAAAACAAATTTCAACGAGTAAAATGACAAAAGAAAGATAGCAAGATTAACCAAAGATTATTATGGCAGTAAAATGAATATCGATGGTAAAATATCAACAAAAAAAAAAGATATTGAATGAAAGGTAGAAATGTAAAATATGTAGAGCTGCTTGAATATATATATATATGTATATAAAAATGAAACTACATTACTACGCATGTTTATAAGTCTGATTCATCAGTTTTGGTGTGGTTTTTAAACTGTTGAATTTTCAAATAACCGTACTCTAGCTGATGGTAAAATGGGTGTTGGTAATGTCAGTTGTCGTTGTTTTGATGCTACATGTTTGTTGGCAATTTCTGCAGCAAATTCGGCAATATTGCTCATTGGCAAGCGTTACTTTCGAGCAAAATAAGAACGTACCACACAATATAAAAATGCAATACTTGAGAATATGATAGCAGCAGCAACCATGTAGATCCACCAATTCTGTTGCATATCGTTGAGCCAGGTTACGGACGCAGTTATCAAATCACTCCCGCTTTCGATAACTTTGCTTGCCGTTTTACCGACACTTTTCATCACCGTTTGAACAGGTGTATCAGATGCTGGCTTTATAGCTGAATCGCCAATATTTATATTAACATTTTTAGCGTCGCCCTTGACATCCATTTTATATGCAGTTTCTGAGTTACCAACTATAACAGCCATGTTTTTGGATGAAGGTAATAGTAACTGGTAAAATATGAATGCGTTATTATGATGAAGTATCTTTGTTCGTATGCCGTAAATTTCTGTTTCTTGCATTATCTTTTATACTACACAAGAAAAAAAATAGAAGAAAGAGAGAGAGAGTAAATCTTTCTCTCTTTAAAAAAAAACAAAAAAAGTAATTTCGTCAATGATTAATGATAATGTTTTATTCTCTTTTACATGCAAATAATTTTCGTGTTGAATAAGGAAATAGTCATGTTCACTAGTAGTAATAGAATATTTTTGAATTAGTTCATTTTTAAAAATGAGAAGAAAAATTATTTTCAGTTCAAATAACTATTCAACTATTATTTATAGGCATGCATAAAAGTTCACATTAATTGTAAAATGTTCATTTTCGTAAACTATTTGATAACCTGAAAAACGCATAATTCCTAAATAATATATTCTTCAACATAACGCGGAACATTTTTCGATAAAGTTATAATATCGGAGGTTGAAAATTTGACAGAATTGATAAATGAATGTCTATTGGATTCTATTTTGAAAGAGAGCTGTTGGTAACGATGTTTTAAATAGAGAAAGAGTGGCGGAACAATAACGATAGTTAGGATCAATATGATGTTGATTATAATAGTTGAATTATTGGCAATCATGATATTTTGAAATCGTATAATCGCATTCTCGAGTTTTTGATCAAATATCGATGAGATGTCAAACTTCGCACCATTAATTATCCAGACGGTATTATTATTTCCTGATATACTAAGAGAATGTTTAACAGATTTCGAAAAAATTGAACCCATATTAATTAAAGATTAGCAACTACGAAGAAAGATGAAACACAATTAATGGAGTTTAAAAATTTCCTTCAGTTCAAAGTATAAATTAACATAGGTTTTACGTAGTGAATACGCAGAGCTGTCAGATATTGTGTAAATTTTCTAAAACTTATTGTCAAGCCAGATAAAAAGCTTAAAAAGTTGATTACCAGTGTTTCTCATTCTCCAACATTAGATTAAAAAACCAGTTCATTCTAATAATTGGTACTTTCATTGCAAAAAAAAGGAACTAATTATAAGTCTGTCAAGAAATGAATATACAGTTTTGTAGTAATTTAGAAAACAATGGTCTTTGCTTGCTATTAAAATCTTTAATGATTTAATACTGTGTTTTTGCTTAAATTCAGATGTTTCAATCAAGTTTGGCGTTAATTAAGAGCTTCGTTGTACTCTTACCGATCTAATGTGATTTTACGATTGATTGTGAATAATCACAATGATTGATTTGCAAACGAATACCTATCGTTTAATCTAAAATTAAATTGAAACTACGTGACAAAACTAAAAAGTCAAGGTTGTTACATGTTCGAGTATTTTAGTTATAAAAAATGTCTGCATGTACTTTACTGATAACCAAGTTTTATGTGTTGACTCAAGGACACGATAACTTAGTTGAATGCACGTATTTTAATTCAAATTCTAATATTAATAGACAGACGGATTCAAGTTGTGAGATAAGATAAAGATTTTTTTACGAAAAATGAAACATACTACCATACGCAGCGAATTTTATGCAAAAGGACGAAATATTTCATTGGGTTGTGATAATGAACATTATCCACGTAATTATCGAAAATGATTCTGAAATG